GCGACCATTAGTATCTTTCTTGAAAGCGAAACTATCACCGCGAAGGTCTCTCTGGCCCTCTTTTTCACGCCTGTGGAGTGCACCCTCTTATCTTTCTCAAAAACAAAAAAAAATCGCTTCTTACAAGTCTCTGAAATAGAGGTATTCTTATCACTAGAAAGTCTTCATACAAAGAAGTCATCTGGGATTGACAAGGTTCATCCACTTTTGTTAAAAAAACGCAGAACTGCAAATATACTATCCTTTAACATATATTTTTAATCTTTCTATCAACCAAGATATTTTTCCTGATAGTTTGAAACTTGGTATAGTTGTTCTAAGTTTCAAACAAGGCTCTCGACCTTTCCCAGTTCTCTTTAAGTAAAATATTTTAGAAATATATTTTCAATCAGCCAATCTTCTATCTTACGAACGAAAATATGATTTCCTCAAAACAATATGGATGTAGATCAGGTTATACAACCTCTGACTGTCTAATTGATCTTATTGGATCAAGCACACTATGTGGTTTCTCTATTCTTAGATTTAAGTAAAGCTTTTGATACAGCAAATCATCAAATGTTATTGAATAAACTTAAGTATTACGGATTACAACAAAGCGAAAATAATTGGTTTCAATCTTACTTAAGTAACTGGAAGCAGCAGGTGCATATAAATGGTACCACTTCTGATTCATGTTCAATCTCCACTGACGTACCTCAAGGATCGATATTAGGACCTTTGCTATTCATTATTTTTATTACTGACCTTTCCAAGTCTTCTATTTATTTTTACAACTAGATTATAGGCAGACGATACATCTTTAACAGCTTCTGGAAGGGCTCTTGACAGTTTATTGTGTGAAATTAACAATCATTTGCCAGCTGTCTGCGAATGGTTATGCAGTAATACGTTGACTAGACTGTTCAAAGTCCTCTATTTTTCCGTAAGATCATCGGGATCGAGAGCTTTGCGTTACGGGCTACCCATCTTGCATGAGTGTCAAAACTACCTAGAGGGCGGGGGCGGTTTGGGGGGAAGCGAGAAAAATAGAGGGACTGCAATAACATCACTGCAGCTCGCGTTCAGGAGGCGTGACAGGAATTTCGCGCCTTTTACCATTCACTAATTAAGAAACTCCGCTGGCGATGAAAAATATACCAGACACATTTAGCATCGATTACGCGTGTTTACAAATATCTCCTTTTGAAACAGTGATTATATAATGTTTCTGGGCCATTCCTCGAAATAAAATCGGCAAACATGTACAAGAAAACATTTTCCTAATCAAAATACCAAAAATCTTACGTGTGTTTGCGCAAGATGTGCCTTATGGTATCAAAGCGTACGTTTAATGGAAACGTCGACTTGTCAACGACTTGTCGATGTCGGCAACTTAAACTAAACCCGTTATAAACGCAAATTAACATCTATTGTCTAATGACCAAGCAAGCCCCTGCGTTGCTGGTACAACGCGCTCCGTGAACGGTAGCTGCGGTGATGTTATTACAGTTCCTCTATTTTTCTCGCCCCCCCCCCCCCCCCCCCCCCC